AAAAGTGGTCTGGCGGGTTCAGGCCTGGGCCAGCTCTCAGTTATACTGCTATAGGGTTGGACTGCCAGGGGAACCAGCACATTAAGCACCTTTCCCTCCCTTTCCATTCTCAGTCTGCTTATATAATTCACTTTAAGTCATCATGTCCCATTAGAATCACCAATACACAGTCTTTTCTGATAGTCCCAGTGCTCCATCATGTCATTTCAACTATGTGCATCAATCTCACCTCTGTCCATCTCTCCCTTTCCTCATCTCTCCCCTTTCAAAACCCAAATGCAGTAGCACCAGATAACTGTCCAACATGAGTCTGGTTCTGCTCAAGGTTTCTGCTGTTAAAGGAAGTTTTTCCTCTCCACTGTAACTTACTAAATGCTGCAAAGTGCTTCACTCACATGTTTAAAGATGGAAGTGGAATAGGTGTGATCTTGTAAGACAAAGAAATACTGCTTATAATCCTTTTATAACCACTGATTGTCTGAACTAATTCTCGCTTTGCCCTTCAACCCTCTGATAAAATAATGTTCTTAACTATTTGAAAATACAAACATCAAAACACCTTTAGAAATGTCAGATGTCTTTATAGAAATGTGGTTACTGCATCATTACGTTCAGGGTACTGGGATGATTGCCGAATGACTGCTCTTTGTTTGTCTGGCCTTTTGATTTGAGTGAAAATACATTCACCTTCATGTCGACCGTATGCCTTTTATATTTCAATTTTCCATGAAACTGCAAATAAAGCTATGAATATATATCAGATGAAAATGAGGTCTCTGAAAATCCTTCTGCTCTTCTAAAATGTTCATTCCTCCAGCTGACCTCCACTGAGTATATACAGAACAAGAGTGAACAGAGTGAAAAAACAATTTGTCTAAATCAAGTCTTTTAGTTATTTCTGGGTTAGAGTGGCATGGCACGGACTCACACCACAGACAGTGTGCTGGTTCCAAATATGTTTTTTTTTTCATTCCCTGTGGTTTGTATCATTCCAGTTTTAGCTCAAAATTACAGTTTATGTGCTGTCAGTGGAGGGCAGTGCTGAGGACCGGGGTTTGGCTGAAAAGGAATAGTACACAGCTTCAGAGGAACTGTAAGACTTACATACACTAGTGTAGCGATGTGGGCACTATTTACAGTAAGTACAGCAGACTTTATGGGTAAAGTTCCAAAAAAAGACTCCCACAAGTCACTGTTGGAGACTGTGGATTCAAGTTTAAAATTATCGTTAGAAATGAAATGAGCACAATCCTTATTTCAGTACCAAGAATCAATCAAAAGAGTACCTGCCAAGTAAGAGTTTACACTTTTTGCATAAACCCTTCAAATGGACTTTCCCAACTGTTTAGTTTTTTACACCTTAAAATTTTTTCACTCTTTTTTTGGTTTTGTCAATCCAGCTAACCTTAGTTTAGTTTTAGTCAACTTGCCATCCAATTTGAGAAGCACCATTCAGCTGCTTTAACAAACAAGCTCTTCAAACCCATCGCACACTATCTGCCCTACACTGAGATCACAGTTAGACAAAACTCAAAGTTAGACACCAAGTGACCAAAACGACTAAATTTTCTCCTGGGACAAGCATTGTTGAATGATCAAAATCAAACTGGAAGAGTCAAGTGGATCACCAAGGCACAACATATTGCGCCTGCCTCCTCCACATCTGTGATTTTGTGGTGTTAACCTGTGCAGGCTGTTCATGCATGTTTTCAGCCACTAAAGAATATTTGCTAGTCTTTTTTTTTTTTTTTTTCCTTTTTCTTTAACGTCCATATGGAACCACTGTCTCCAAACAGGTATGTAGAGAATCTCGTGCCACTCTCTGTCCTTTGAATCTGATGACCTGCAGCGCCTGACACATGCTCTGCAGGTGCTCATAGAGAAAGAGAGATCTTATAGAACATCCTTTTTGTTAATGCACCGACCCAAGTGCAGAGGCTTGTTTGAAAATGCTCCTTCATGTTTTATATTTTTAAAGTTGCGTCTAGCTGTTTGTTTCATGCTATTTTGCTTCATGTTAGTTTTGTCAATATCAAGTCTGGTATTTCTAATTGGGCTTTTTACAGAATGACTAGGGGCGAGATCCTGCTGTTCTTGCCAATTTCAGGCCCATATCTAAACTGTCCTTTCCATCAAAGATTATTGAGAAGGTGATTTACAGTCAATTAATGAACTTTTTGGAAGAACACAGCATTCTTGAGATTTTCCAATCCGGTTTTAAATCTCTGCACAGCACCGAATCTGCACTTTTAAGAGTTTTTAATGACATCTTTTTAGCTACAGGCTCTGGTGATTCTGTGATTCTTGTGCTTTTAGATTTAACAGCTGCCTTCGATACAGTGGACCACGAGATCCTAATTTCCCGCCTGGACCAGTTGGTGGGTATTAGAAGCATAGCATTGGAGTGGTTCAGGTCGTACTTGGCCGACAGAACTTTTTGTGTTAGCCTTGGTGACTCTGTGTCCTCCTCTGCTCCCCTCCCAAGTGGGGTCCCACAGGGCTCAGTGCTTGGCCCTCTCCTCTTTTCCCTTTACTTGCTCCCGCTCTATAATTAGGAAACATGGCGTATCTTTCCATTGTTATGCAGATGACAGTCAAATTTATGTGACACTTAAAAAAAAATGACACTGACTCTGTCACGGCACTGCTGCTCAGTAGGAGGTTGATTTCATTTTATTGTCTGTTGTGGACTTTATTTGCGTTTTATTTGATGGTACTGTGTTTTTATCTCACTTTATTTTATCTACATGGTTTTATTGTGCTTCTGTTCTGTTACTTACTGTATTTTATCTTGCTGTGCAGCACTTTGGAAACCTTGTATTTGTTTAAATCATGCTATACAAATAAAATGGATTGGATTGGATTGAATGACAGCTGATCTTTATGGATGAGACACATACAGGCAGGACAAACCACCAGGAGGCAGAGTAAACTTGTTAAAACTGATTCTTAAAAACACTTACGGTGTGAAAAAAAGCAAAAATATGTAAATGCATTCTGCTCAAAACATGATTAAAATACAAACAAAGTACTTTAAGTTTTAGCAACCAAACCATATAAACTTTCCATCTCCATCCAAATGAAATGTATTACTGAATGGGCCATAATGGACCCCTCTGTGGCTGGTGTATAAGTAAAGAATTTTTATTCTGATGAGGCTATTTTTCTGATTATGAGTGTGACCTGTAAACAAAACTAGGGATAAGACTTTAAGGGAAACTTGTTTTAAGGTTCCTGTTATTATATACTTGGTAAAAGTATATAGTTTTCCATTTGCAAGATAAGGTACAATGTGTCCATGCTAAGACATAAAAATAAAGAAAGTTGTAGCTGCTGTTGCTTTTTGTTTCAACCTTCTATTCAGGCTACAAAACACTGTTTTAAAGGCCTAATTTCAGAAGCAAGGAAAAACATTCATCTTTACTATTTACAGTGTACACATGGCCATAAATTGAAATGCTTTACACACAGACATATCGCCAGCTGTATCCATACAGTTAGCATGTTAAATATAGCCACATGCAGAGCAGAGAACTGGCAATTGTGGCCTCAACAGTGTCTTTTTATAGATGTTTTCAAAAAGAGGGTAAAGACTGTGTGGCTTGGGTAATAAGTTTGAGCACTGAATGGATGCAACAGACATGCTGCCCATGTCATATGTTATGATAAAGCTGAAACTGGTTTGGAGCTCGAGGTTAAAGGCTAATCCAAGTGTGGCTTTGAAGAACCTGAGTGAATAACGGACACGTCTACTTTTGAGTTAACAGCTAAGAAAACGTGTTACTTGTTATAAGACACATCTGACACACATCATTCTTCATACAATGGATTTGTGGAGGGTTTTGGTGATATATCAGGTAGAGGCGATACATCTTATGCTATAAACACAACAAAATGAATGCCAATATGTAAAACTAGTCACCTCTCACAGTTTGTGGTGTGCAACAATGCAGTGAGCATAGCTGACCAAACACACAAAGATGCTTTTTTTTACCAGCAACTAGAGTCCCAACTCTCAAAACTGGAAATCTTGCAAAATCTCCTGCAGTTCAATGTGATTTAAGAATGAACAAATAAGTCAGACTGCAGAAGCAAACTGTAAGAACTGCTTAGCTCCCATTGAAAGAGCAGTTTCTTTTTTAACACCTCACCTTGTCCTTTTGGTTTCATATGTTTTACCAAGCACTCATGTGAAAACATATGCTCTTGCCCACATTACCAAGTGGATTCCACATTTCTGACATCCGTCTCAGTTTTTCACGCTTTACACACCTCACACCACCTGCTCTGTTTCCACAGTTAGAGTACGCCATCAGCTGACCAAGATTTCTAATGTGCACTGCATAGCAAATAATTCTCAACTTTCTAAAAGTACATAACCCAAAACTTGTCAGACTTGTCAACGTGTCAGAATCCAGTTTTTTTTAAATAGCTCTGAACTCCAGCACTTTGATTTTGCTTTTCAAGTCTACCAAAAGAACAGAAAATAAAGTCCTGGTTTTATAGATTAGTGGCTGAGAGGTTTTGGTGCAATTGCACTGGTCATAGTCAGTGGTTCGCAAAAGCTCTTTTTTTATTTTTGACCACAAGCAGGGGTAAAACAGAGCTCAAGCCATCTTCACAATCCTAACCCTGCTTCTGGTGGTGCAAAACTGCAGTTCAGTCAGGATGACTTTGTCAAAATTCAGCTTTAATGTGCAAAGTTAAATTTGGTGGCATAGTTCTGTTCTGGGTTCCTGCCCTTCCACGCGCTTGCCTGGAAGCCAGAGGCAGGAAGAGCCCCTTCCTGCCCTTCACAAGCCATCATGAAAAGGCAATAGCAGGGAGCGCACGCAAAGTTCTGTTCGGGGCCCCCTGTTCTCCACACAAGCATGCGTGAAAGGCCAGGAAGAGCACCTTCCCGCCCTTCATGAGGCATCATGAAGGCAGAAACAACAAGGGGTAGAGCAGTGATGAACAGAACCCCCCCTAGAACAGGAGCGCTTCAAGAGTAGTGGAGCAGTTTAGCCGGTGTGGTATCTGGAGTACAGCATCAACATACCAGGCCGAGGTATTTCCCAAAGTTACATGAACTAATCAAAGTGTGGATTGTAGACACTGGGTCACCTGGCTGTTGAGTGCTTGTAGAGCACAGGTCACAGTTCACAGGTCACGATTCCAGACTAGATAAACAACAAACAAACAGATGATAACGAAAAGATAGCTGGGGAACAAAGAGAGGATGACCCTATATAACAGGATTACAAACTGTGGTCAGGGAGAGCTGGACATCATTGGCAGTCCTCTCCCAGCAACTGCAGTGCTGTATTGATACTGGTTTTGTCTTTATAATAAACTCCTCTTATACAAGCAAGCCAGTGTCACGAAGCCTCCTTCTGCATCTACACATCGAGGACAGCCCAGACACAACAAATTGGCGCCTGAACAGGGACCAGCTACGGCCTTCAGAGGATCACGGCAGCTTCAACGCATCTATTCCTGCACCACATTGGCGCCAGGTGAGTGTTTGACTCACATAAAGTGCTGCTGGTTTAGTTGTTGGAGCTGTTGTGTTCAGCTGTTAGGCTGTACTGTGTAAAAGTATTTGTGTGGAAATGCTGTGATGTGCTGTTGAAGAGAGGCTTCGTCTAAATTTGGGTAGAATAGAAAAGAAAAGAAGTTGTAGAGAAGATGTTAAAATAGACGAAAAAGAGATGCCAAAAATAGAATAGCAGAGACTAGTAATGGGAGTGTGCTAAATAACCTTGCAAGATTAACGAAGAGGGGCCCATATCTTCTTAACGGTAAGACAATGTGTAAATTAGTGACTAATGTGAACGTCTAGCTCCAAAAGGATAGTCGAATTCGGGGCGGGGAAAGAAAAAGTGAGGAGTAAAACCCGGAGCCCAGGGTAATTGGCAAATAAATGATAAAAAGAGATAAAGGGTGAAAAGAGAAACAGGCTGAGATAGCCTAGGCTGAGATGGCCGAAAAAGAGAAACAGGCTGAGATAGCCTAGGCTGAGATGGCCGAAAAAGAGAAACAGGCTGAGATAGCCTAGGCTGAGATGGCCGAAAAAGAGAAAAAGTTAACTTAATGTTAGGGAAGTCGTGATTGGGCATAACAAACCGGTAAGGACAGTTTAAAGAAAAAAAAATTAAGTTAACATAAAGTTAGGGAAGTCGTGATTGGGCATACAAACCGGTAAGGACAGTTTAAAGAAGAAAAAATTAAGTTAACATAAAGTTAGGGAAGTCGTGATTGGGCATACAAACCGGTAAGGACAGTTTAAAGAAGAAAAAGGCCGATATACTATAGTAAGGAAACATTGAGCTCAGTGAGAAGAGGTGTGCTGAAGTTTGAGTGTGTGAGAGAAGCTTCTGGTGTGTGTGAGAGGAGTGTGTGTATGGGTGCTGCTGTGAGTGTGAGTGCAAAAGAGTCTGTGTGCAGTGAGTGGCATGTGCACAAAGTTGGGGAAGTGTCTAGCATAAATATAAGTGATTAACTCATGATAAAGTGATAAATGATGTCTTATTAAATATATAATGATATGATATAAGAAATTAACATATAAGGGAAGAGATACTGTTGTCTTTGTAGTGTTAAAAAACATATGAGCCCTGTTTCTCTTTGTACAGGGACATTAATAGAATAAGTAACTGCTATGAGCCTCTCAGGATAAAGAGGACGTGTGTACACCTAATAGTAAGAAATGAGCCCCTTATTAGATGAGGAGGACTTTGGATGGTGATAACATCCTCGAGTAAAATGACAATTAAAGAAGTGTAAAAACCAGCAAGCATATTTTTGTTCATACAAATACAGGAAAAAACAGAGTGAGAGAGTGGGGTAAAAAGGAATGATTTGCTAACTGATAGGTGTGGTTTTTTCTCTGTGTGTGTGTGAATATTTAAAACTGATGGTCATTTGCTGATGATTATGGTTAGAGGGAAAATCCCAGTTAAAAATTGGAAAAATCCAGGGAGCTTTTCCTCCCTCTTTCTTTCTCTTCTTACAGGCCTGAGAACAGAAAGAAAGCTAAAAAATCTAGTTTAACTATCCTAGATGTGTGAAAATTTTAAATGGTTTACCATGGTAAAGGGGAATGATGTATAATAAATTTAGGTAGTCTGATAGTAGAAGAAATCTTTAAATAATGGTAGTAAACATTTTAAATTGTATTGAATGAAGTGATTGTGATATACTAAACATTTGATTTGTGCTTGTCCCTTTCTCTGATGCATGAGAGGGGAGAGAAGAATGAAAGGCATCTGACGTTGGAGCACCCATAAAACAGATAAGAAGATAATTGGCTGTGCTGTAACCAAGAGGGGGCTTGCGGATGAGAGGCTCACCAGGACCTGCTCCCATTTGACAGGCCAGTAGAGTTTTATCTACAAACTCTTCTCCTATGCATCTGCTGCTACTTAGTTGTACATACACACATTTATAGTGGGAACACATTTAGTTGGGTGTATACATTTGGTAGTGCTAGACAATAAAAGCAGTAGTTTTGTTGGTAAAAAGGAAGGCTTGGCAATAGACTGACCAGTTGAAGGGGCTAATTAAGTACCGTAGTATTGTTGAATTAAAAGAGCATTTCCAAGAAGTCTAAATTTTGCTGAAGCTTGTGGATGTGATTGGTCATTACTGCTTGGTAAAATCACACAAATTGATCTTTTTTGGGTGTTGATAAGTTTTAAGTCTCTGGGGCTGGCAGATTTCTTTGGCTTGTCTTGGTTTAAGGTAAATTAGCTAAACGGCGCTGTGAATAACGTGTTTGGTCATCTGTTGGTGCTTTTGGTTCCTATGAAGACATTTAAAGGCAGTAGCGCAGTGCCAAAGATGGACGTTAAAGGTGTGAAATCTATCACTCCAGTTGATGTAGTAATGAAGAGCAATCCACTTGTTATGGGTATTGAAAAAATGTCTAAGAAATGGAGTAAGAGGTGGCCTGACATTGACCAGCCTTGGCCAGTGGAAGGTACCCTTAATCCTGAAGTGGTTAAAACAATGCACGTGCTAGTGTCCACCTATAAGGCAGAGCAAAAGAAAGGAAAGAAGGGAAAGAAACGGCAAGAAAAGAGACAGAGGGAGCTTAACATTTTGCAATTATTTGAGCAGGAGGGGCAGAAAATGCTAAAAGCCAATAAGGAGAGAAAAGACAGGATTGTAGAAGAAATAAACAAAAATGTTAAATCAACAGAAAAATTGATGGCAGAAGTGAATAAACCTTTCTCACACACAACCCCAGTGAAGAGCCCCCCACCGTATGAGAAAGAGATAAGATACACTGATGTCTATCCTCAGCTCCCCGTGATTAAACAGGAGGGCGTGTATCACATCAAAGATGAGAAGGAGCAGATGATAGAGACAGGAACAGCTAAAACAACTATAAAGATGTACCCAAGCAACAAGAGTAAAAAGAAAACAGGTCATCCAGCAGCTAGGGGTGAACAAAAATACAGAACAATAGAAATGGGAGATGATAGTCATAGTGATTCAGAAGAGGCTTTTGGAGGATACGACCCAGCAGTTAGAAACATATTAGCCAGAGCAGAGAAAAGAGGAGGAAAATCACTGAGGAAAAAAGAGCCAGCAAAAGACACCTCAGAGGAGAGTGAAGATAATGATAGGGATGAAGAATCAGACAGTGAAGAGTCTTCAAATTCCCTTTGGTCAACACCAAGGACTGAAGCTGAGGCACAGCATAGAGCTTGGAAAATGATTGAGAAACGCATGGATAAATGCTATGGTGACCTAAGTAGTGCTACGAGTCCTGAAAAACATAGAGAATTGAGGGAAGAATTAGAAGAGTTACAAATAATAAAAAATGACTTAAAGAAAAAAGGAGTTGAAAAGCCATCCACTTCAGGGTATTCCTTACGCCCAAGAAAAGGGGATAAGCCAGCTGGGAAAATGTGTCCAGTTATTGTTCGGGGACAGAATTTGGAGTACAAGCCTCTGCAAAATACAGACATGTCAGACATTCTTGAAAAGTTACCTACTCTTCAGGAAGGAGCTCACCCTTGGATTTCCAAGTTAGAGGAAATTATGGTGGGATGGCAGCCTGCTATGGGAGACATCAAGAGACTCCTAGCTAGCATTTTAGGGGTCCCAGCTATGGAAGAGATCTTGCAGAGAGCAGGGCTTAACCGGTATGCAGGAACTGCAGTAAATGACCCAGAACTGTTTGCTGCGTGTAGAGCTCGGATGTGGAGATCACTGAGAGATGTATTTCCAACAAATGTACATCCAGATAACATTATAATTGAACCACTAGGACCACAAGAGAATCCAAGAGCCTATGTATCAAAAGCTCATCAAATTTGGAGAAATGTTACAGGAAACGATCCAGATATGCACCAAATGGAGCAGTCTATTTTGAGAGCCAAAATACAAAAAGGGTTGCCCCAGCCAGTGAGAAATAAATTAGAAGAGGTGGTTGGTCTTGGTAGCATGACAAAAGGGATATACACAGACCATATAGCACATCAAGTTGAGTTGTACAGGAAGAAACAGAACGAGCAGAGAGAGCATGATCAAGAGATCCTGAGACAACTTAACCAGATACATTTGGGAAATAGCAAAAAGAAAGACAAGAAACAAGCTGTGGTTATGCAGAGCCAATCTCAATCAGAGGAGGCAAAAATGCAACTGCAACAGGAACATATGCATAACCGACCACCCCAGCTGACACCAGTAGCTCCTTTAGGGTCATATGCACAACCAGCCTTTAGTCAGTGGCAGACATGGAGTGGAAGCGGTGAAGACAGAAACTTCAACCCAAACTTCCAGGCATTTTCAGAAGCATGTCATAGGTGTGGACAACTAGGACATTATGCACTTGACTGTTATTGAGTAGAAGAAAGCTCTGTCAGAGGATGAGGGAAGGAAGAAAGTAAGAAAGTTTTTAGTAAGTAAGTAAAAGATGGTTCTTGTCAAGGACATTGATTATTTGTGGAAAAGAACAATTCAGGAGGCCAAGGTTAGACAATGATGCAAGGGGGGAAGTTACAAGAAACATCATAAAGGAATAGGTTTTTGGACACCACAAATTTTTAATTATGTCATAAGTAGATGTACAATGTGACTAAAAAAATAATGTTTGATGGGTTAACAGTTGAAGCTTGTCCAACCAAGCAAAAAGATGCTCAGTATGTTGCCAAGTTTTTGTGTAGGGAGGTCATAAGCAGATGGGGACTTTCAGAGTAAATATTCGAAGATAATGGAGAAGAGTGTGTGGATAAAACAGTGAAATTGATTTGAAAAACTAAGAATTGAACACTGTTTAAGAGCTCTGTACCATCCGCAAAGCCAAGGTATCTGTGTAAAAATGAATGGGGTGATGAAAAACCCTCTGGGTAAAATTGACCAGCACACAGTTTTACATTTTGATGTCATAAAGGGGGAGTATTGATTAGGGGGAAATATGATAAACATGTCAAACAACAAAAATGTATGTTTTTGGCAAGATACTGCTTAATTTTTTCATTCTCAGGACAGCAGGTGGGGAGACCAGCTAAAGAAAGGTGGTTCTCCAGACATCTAAACAGCCTAATGGACCCACACCTCCCAACAAGACAACCAAACATGGACAATGTAAACACAACTGAAACCTGACAGAGGATGTGAACAAGGACATTGCATTGGATACATAAACGGAGGAAACACCCATGGACAAGAACACTACACAAGCAGCCAAGGATGTTAAGGAACAAAAATGATTATTCATTTTAATCATAGAGTTTGTTAATGTATAACCTGGGATTGAATGTCAATTTATCTCTCTGTGTTGTATTTTAATGTTCATGTCAACACCAAACAGTATAGGAAGAATGAAAACTATGAAAGGGGGTTTAGTGATTCATAGCATAAGTTGTAAAGTGAATGTATTGGGATCTCAGGTGTTTTCTTTGTTTTCTCGTTGTAGGATCAGTGGTGTTAGGCAGGGATAGGTCCACTGGAAGTTCGATGGGATGACCAGCTTGACTGTGGATAATTTTAAATTTGTTTCTGAGATTCCCAAGAATATTTGCGCCAAACATTATTTCCACATAAAGTCTAACCCTTACCTTTCAATTGGATTGGAGTACAATAGGTGGTCGCCTAGGGCAGAGGGACCGTGAGTGACTTTTTCCTGTCTAGAGTGTTTGATGGATAAAAATGGAAAGACAGCTGCCTGACAGGTTTTCGCCCTCACACTCCAAAATTTCAGCAATAAATAGAAACTGCATAAATTGAAATTGTAATTATGTCTTTTCCTTTTTCGAGACTCTATGGAGTCTCGAAGGGGGGAAATATGTGGTATCTGGAGTACAGCATCAACATACCAGGCCGAGGTATTTCCCAAAGTTACATGAACTAATCAAAGTGTGGATTGTAGACACTGGGTCACCTGGCTGTTGAGTGCTTGTAGAGCACAGGTCACAGTTCACAGGTCACGATTCCAGACTAGATAAACAACAAACAAACAGATGATAACGAAAAGATAGCTGGGGAACAAAGAGAGGATGACCCTATATAACAGGATTACAAACTGTGGTCAGGGAGAGCTGGACATCATTGGCAGTCCTCTCCCAGCAACTGCAGTGCTGTATTGATACTGGTTTTGTCTTTATAATAAACTCCTCTTATACAAGCAAGCCAGTGTCACGAAGCCTCCTTCTGCATCTACACATCGAGGACAGCCCAGACACAACACCGGCACAAGGGTGGAGCTGGGGTGGAGGTGGGTTGCTGGTTGCCTGTCGAAGCAGAGGAAGAGGCTGGGTTAGGGCAGTTTTAAACAGGGCGCTCTAAAGGCATAGGACCAATATGAGCTAAGAGGAAATCAGCTGGGCCATCAGCTGGTCGAAGTGGCTACCTTTCATTGGCTGCGGATCAACACTTGACGTCGTGACCTGTCAGAACTAACGCTATGCTTCATTTTTGCACCCCCAAAGCCTCAAGTAGTTTGTTTAATTCAATTCATAATTCACAGAGAATTACCATAAAATCAAGAGCATAAGTTTTATCTGTATGAAGCAGTGTTTAAGGTTTCAACTGTGTTCCCAAAGCTCATGAAAAATAGCTTAATAGATGTAATCTACACTGTGCGCTGTTTGTAGATCAGTTTGCATGTTTGTTTGCGGCCCACTGAGTGATGTCAAAAGCTCAAACTTTAACAGCAGAGGCTTCTCAGTCTAGCTTGTGTAATCACTAGGATAAGCTGCTGATGTATGTGCTTTTCTTCTCGGGAACAGCAGTAAAAAGAATGTCAGCTACTGATGTGTTAGAAGTCCTGATGGATGAGACCCAATCTCACACAGAAAGAGAACGCAATAGGTCAAATCTGAACGACCCCTAATCCTGATCCTTTAAATTACACCCATAGAGTCTGCAGGCTACACATGAAAAGCGGATGTTAAACGCAGCTGTACAAGAAGAACCGATGGAAATACATTTTGTGCTACATGTCTGTATCTCGAAAATTTGTGTGCTATTAAATTGAAACCACAACTTGACTTTCCACTCTTAAAAAAATGAAGGGATATTTCCTGAATATCAAGGTCAGTGGGATACTTTCTTAAACAGGAATTAAGTGAGTGAGTAACTGTGAATACTACAGCCTCCTACTCTAGTAGTCAATAACGCTGTATTGCATAACAGATGACAATTATATGCATATCATCTCCCTAAATAGAAAAAAGCAGTGGACAGCCTCTGATCCCGAACGCCGCCTCAGTCTGAATGAAGGCCATGTGTATGTACATATGTTCTGCCCACATCACTGTTTTGGAGAGCTGCACGCACATCAAAGGAGGTATTTATTAAGGGTGCATACCACACACACACACACACACACACACACACACACACACACACACGAGCAGATGTGGGCCTCTGAACATTCGATCCCTCTACATGATGTTCAGTATGCTCAGAGGTTTCCCAAGAGTTATGATGCTTCGAAACAGTCATGGAAAAAGACTAATAGCAGTTTCGTTTTTCCTTTTTTTTGACTACCTTTAAATGTGTTATGGCTTGGTTTAATTTTCATCCATTAAATTTTTAACGAAGTATCAAAGACATGCAGATGTGAACTTGTTTGGTTACAGGGAAAATACAATTTCCAAAAGGTCAACCAAAAGCTGTTATCAGAAAAACAGATTATTTCCCATGAAGACAATACTGTAGGTAAATCCCCCCCTATAAAATGTCTCTTAATTGGGAAAATTGCTCATTGTAATGATCACAGTGTGCATTTAAAGAGCCAGCAATCCACCTAAACTTAAGGCTGCTATTAAGAAGTTTTGTATGTCAGCCTTGGTGACCCCTGAATAAAGTGGTATGTCTCAAGGTTCTCAGTGCTTCCTTTACACATGACAGTAGACTTAAATAGTATCATCATCACTGCCCACATACTCCAAGCATCTACTGAAGCTCTTTTGCAGCTTTTCTTCTCTTCCAATTGGTTTTAAGTTCCTGTCTGATCTCTACTTAGCTACACTGTCATCATTTGTGCAGGTCATATACATATATATTGTACTCATGTTCCTGCAACCTAGCTGCACCCATAGACTGTATATAGAATGGACAGCATCTGCCCACTTACTGCTTGAAGCCATCCTGAGAACAGCACCCTCTGGTGACAGGCTGCAGTAATAAATACATAAAGGTCATAAATCCCGCCTCTTCCAGCAATCCCTATGGAGCTGTGGACAAACTTTATAAATCAATTACCCCCCCCCCCCCCCCCCCGCTTGTGATGTTGATGTGTAGTTACTGTAAGACTGGTTTGTGCTCAACTCCTCTTTATTTCTGTACAGCTCCATTTTTAAAAGTTATTCCGGGGTTCATATTTTCTATGATTGACACTTGATACAGCCTATGGGCGTACAAAGATTGCGTACACCTGGTGGATAAGCTGTTTCAGCCAAGTGTCATCAAAGCAACTTTCAGCGACTCTACCACCAAGTGTGTACAATGCTGCTGGGCAAATGGTGACGTGCGTACAACGCTACTGCGCAATGTTAGTTCCAGGAAGTGGAGAAAAAAAACAGAAATATAGAAGCTTTTTGAGATTGTCTCTCAAAATAGAGCTTTTTGGCTTCAAATCTGTATACTGTTGGAAGGCGGAACCAAGTTGTCCATAGTATAAACAGTCTATGGCTGCACCTGAGTTATTATCTGGATGTGCATGAAAATCCCTATTTATAGGCAGTTATATGTTTATAGTGTCTCACCAGGGGTGTCTGAATAAACTGGTATTGACAATAACTGTCCTTCTGAAAATGTGAGATATTGATATTGTGCAAGAAACAAGCGTATTGTAATGATTAAAAACACTTTGTTGCCCGCATGTTGTAAATAGTGTCAGGTTACCCTCTCTTTAATAAAGTAAATGTCACAATAAATAATACATTCTACAGTAGCAAGGAAAGGACAGACTAGTAACATGCTGTTTTGCATTTAGTGAGCAGCCACTGAAATTACGCCAGTTGAAAGTAGAGGAATAAGAATCTATCATATTATATTGAGTATAAAACTTGCCAAAATAGGTTCATGCTTATCCTGCACACAGGAGCCGCTTGTCCTCAAAAGGCTTCACTTATGAGAAAAAGTGTTTGTGTTGCTTTTGGTAAACAAGATTCAAAAACTATATTTCTATTGCTGCTGTAAGGGTCAGTCAAAGAAGCTCTAAAATACTCATTTTCAAAAGGAAGAGAGCTAAACTGTTTCACCAAAGTTATTGAGGTTTTTCACATTGAAAATGACTCCACCAAGGGCAGGGTGAGTCCTCTTTAATGTGGTAAAGGGGTGAAAGGGTTTAATCTCTAACTACAAGGGCAGCTTATGCTTTTAGAAAATGTGGGAGACGAAAAAAAATTGTTGTACTAATTGAGCGGGATAATCAGATCACGTAACACAGAAACAGAACGTTGACAAAAACAAGCCCACTGGAAAACTGCAATTGTAGCCAGATCTTATTTGCGTTTGTGTTTTTGTGTTGGATCAACTAAATGTCAACTGACAAGGCACACAAAGAGGGTAGGGTAGGCCACTTGTGTTTCTGTTCTCAGTTAATTTTAAATGTGGTTTGGATTTTTTTCATGCCTTTCATGAGGCCTCCATCTTCTCAGCCCAGCATGGTTAAAATCAAGACAGAAAGACAGAGAGAAGATATTACTGACAGATTTGACTTTATGCTTTGATAGCGTTTTTGTTGCTGTTGTTGTTGTCTTTGTCTTTGTTGTTGAGCTCCTGCTCTTATTGTTGGTTATCATTGTTAATGATAGCACAATGACCAAAAATCCTGCTTCTTTGTTTTCTCTACGCTGAGATTAAGTATGAGATCACCTACAGTGATGTCACAGCAGGTGTGAGCTGATGGCGAACACCTGCTGTGATGTCATTGGTTGGCATGTTACCAGCAGTGATGCATGCTGGGTGGTTATCAGCCGAGAGAGCAGCTGAGCTTCACTGCTCTGAGTTGAGCTTTGATCAGCTGTGATCAAAGCTGTACGTCTGTCTTGAGTTTTGATAGAAGGCTGTAGAAGTTATATAAGACGGACCCCAGTGTTTTAAATTTTCCTTGTATTATTTATAAAGCTAGCAATTCAGTTCTGGATTTCATTGAAGATGTAGATTTTTACTTTGTCATTAACTTTGAAATTAACTCCACAATAAGATATGCATATCAGCTTTTGGGAAATTTTCTACTCTTTTAGGTTTCTGAGGTATTACACACTATAGTAGATACAGCATGTACTTCTTCCAAGTTAACATGTGTTTTACTCTGAGCCAGCTGGGGGAAAAAAAACATAATTTCCATAAGAAAGACCTCCCAGTCTTTAGGACTTCACATGGAGATGTAAACACCTTCATCAATAGCCAACAACAGATTGTATCCATGAGTTTGGAACACTGTGTAGGTTTATTTCACAAGCAGGATGGTCAACTGAAAAGTTGCAAGTTTGATTTTTTCATCAAGTCTGTACTGAATCATTCTGGTAGGAAATACCAAGTATTATTATCATTATTTGATGTGACCTGCTTGGTGCCCTGTCATGGTTTCATCATTACAACTTTACAATTCCTGTGCTGCTAAAATTGAGGATACTGTACTCTTGGAAAAGGGATCAAAGGGCATGGCCAGTGTGGGTATTATATTAATTAAAAGGGACATCTCAGCCTAACACTTAAAAAGACCTGTAAATGTATCATATCATTTACAAACTGCCAAAATATAAGTATTTATTAGTATTCTAAAGGGGTGTCAAAAATATATATGTATTTCTTTCCATCTCAGGCTGGTCCTCACAGTTAAGGAATAATTATAGAGTATGAGGAGCTACTGGACCCCAACCATCTCTAATGAGAAATCTGGAGTAACATCCTGTCCTGCATTCCATGTTATGGCAGGGTAGGGTGTATCTCTTTCTTCCCAATAAAGATTGATTAACTTAAACCACAAGTGATAGTTGTAGTATCAAGAATGTGAAAGTTGAGGCGTTTGCCTTGTTTCTGTTAAATCGTGTGTTGATTGCAAAGCTCTAAAATATTACCATCAATAATCTTTCAGAGATGCATGACATAAAAGTCCCTTTGTAATGCTAAAAGTGTGCCATGTAATTTAGTTCTCAAGTCTCTCTGGCAGAGGTAATGATGATCAGTTAGATATGTTAGCATTGCATGTGGGTGTGCAGGGAAAGGGAAACCCCAAACAGTTGACCGTGTTGCTTCCATGATATTAACAGTACCGGATATTTATCAAACCCCCCAAAAGGAATAATATTAGAAAGAGAAACATCTAACCTTTGCAAAAAAGTAGTTCAGAAGCAAAATAAGGGTTACCACTATGTCCACACATGGCTCCAAATTCAACGCAGACAGAGAGGAGCTTTAAAAGCAGAATTTTATACATGTTAAATAGATGGAGTAATGGAGTGTTGTTTTTAACCAGATCATGGTGACATGTCATCTAGTGACCACAGAAGACATAAAATCACAGGGCAATGCACAGTACAAAAACCAGAAACAGGAAGCTGAGGCACATGCAAGTCGACCTCAACTCATTGTGGTATCACGTGAAATGAGACTCAATCACAGAGATCTGGCTCATTTATTGGCATCCTGTAACCACAAAGTACAGAGGCCACATTATGGTCTGTGGGCGGGCTTTACCTTTGTTTGTGTGAACATATACGTGCATGCCGTTTCTGAACACATCTGGTTCACATATGGCTTCAAGGTGTGCTCCAACCCCACATACACAGCACACATACACACTGCATCCACATGCATCTCCCTGTGATTACTATGAGGAGCTTGGAGTATAAATAGCTCACTTCAGCTTTTCCAGTCACAGAGTTCTTGTAAGAAATCACTACAGGTCAATCTAGTGTAATTTTGAAGTTTTATTTCAGTATTGTGTCATACTTTTTTATATGCCCGCTCCACAAGGACTTACACGACACCATGAATTCTCTCAATCCAGGGTCAAATGCAATACAACAGGTCAGTATCATAGAACAGGAGAATAAAATTTAAACAAATATGCACTAATACAGAAATAGAGACAATCTTCAAGCACACTGAAGTCAAACTTTGATTATAGCTACATTAGGTGATTGAACTGGACCACTGCCCTTGTTCTTGTTTTGGAGCACTAAGCAAGAGCAGAAAAGTATGTCCACCTCTGATAGCCATCTTTTGGTTGACCTATAACATAACAAAACAAAACAATCAACAAACATGTTGGCAAGAGACTAAAACACTGATGATTTTACACTTTGGTGCCTTTCTCACACATGATACACCTGATCTCCAGTGAATGGTTGCTCTCTCAGAGGCTCTTTTGAGAAATGATATGAAAATCTAAAAGCGGAGTATCATTTTGACAGATAAGGATACTAATTGCACTCCACCATACCACCAATTTGTTGCCCACTCCAATATATTGAATCACTGCAAACATTAGAAACCTGAAAATTGAAATGTCAAATAATGACACATCATGATGGAATTTTTATTCGTCATCAAAATGACAGACAGCTAACTCTAGCCTGGTGCTCCATCTCAACTTGGTGTGTAATGAGGTCCACTGAGACACATAAGAGGCTACTTTCTTAGTCTCTGTACCCACACTGGAACCTCCTTATGAACACCCTTAAATTCAGCTGAGTTCAACAGGTCTCTGCCTCTATTTTGATCCTTTTCTAGCAATGAAAGAGACATATTTTTACACTTAATTCATTACCGGTCATCACAATAAAATACGCATTAAGTTTATCAGAGCTGTGTTTCTTTGAAAAAGAAAAAAATCAACGGAGAATGATTCTGATGCCAACCCATGGTGAAGAAGACTTTAATGTTTTTACTTAGAAACACACGCTTTTCACAGCACTCATATTTCTTTGATTTTAAGGCAAAAATCAATAGATTAAAGTAGATCACCCTTCTCTGTGGCAGGTGGCAACATGCACCTTCTCAGCGAGTTAGCATAGGACCATTTCCTGTTATGTCACCTGCCAAAACAATTAAAAAAACAAGAGCAAGAGGCTAGACACAGATGGCTTTACAGCACTCTACTTTTTTGTAAAACAATTCAACAGTTTTTCCTGTTTACACCCCTTCTTTTTGCTGCATTGTTTAGGTATGTTAGTTCAACTTCCACACATTTGAGATTCTCAGTTACATTAGTAGTTCCTTAACTTTTTCTGGCATTGGAGGATAAAATTTTAAGAAAACTTCAAAAAGCTGCATCACTTTGCAACAGAAAACTAATTTTTAAGCTTTATATAAACATATTGAATCCAATTTTATTAATCCCTGAAGGGAAATTAAATACAAAAGCATAAAAAAATAAAGTTCTGCGTTCTCTTCACCCTATACTTTCCTGCATTTCCATCTATATGATACTCTGCCATGTAAAGAAGAAAAAAAAAAACACAGTTCTCTCAGCTGACAGTCTTGGCTCTCCGGTGGGCCACAGGTGGCTCATGTTATGTTCCTTCATTCTTACTCAATGGCTCTGTAAGTCATGGTCTATCTCAGCCATGTCAAACCCTGCGCCTGGAAACCAAGCAAACAACCCAATAGTAAAAGAGGATTTAGTGGGTAACAATAGCAAACCACATGTTCCTGTTTCCTATCCATCATGGCTGACACCAAAACACTGACAGAGCCTCTTCTTTTCTCCTTTCCTGCTTTTTCTCCTTCGCTGACATGCAAGGCACCTCAGGGACTGACTACATTGTGTGTGAGTGTGTATGTGCAGGTATATGTTTATGTATTTGCATGCCTCTTCAACTGTGAAGCTCATATGAACCCGTACTGCTCATGAGCAGCTAGTGTGAGTTTGACAGATGATGTTTTTGCTCTGGGAAATGTAGGATTTCCTTTCACACCTTGACTGTAACTCAGGCCTGAATGTATGTTCATGTGTGTGTGTGTGTCACTGTGTTTCTGCACACTGACAGATGGTGAAAAGCCATGCAATGCTGCCTGGGGGATATATACAAAAAGATATCCCTTGACTTGTCTGCACACACGCTCACACAGACACACACACACACATATCTACCCTTTAATCACCTTGGTTACTGTATAGGTGCAAATGGAAACCCCACACTTCAACACGTCATGTGGAGTATCCCTGTTGACAGGACAGAAAATGAGGCTTCCTTCACCATCAGTCAAACAAGCCTTCACAAGTCAACAAATGGGATGTTACTGAGGTGTTTTAACAGCATTGCAAAAAAGGACTAATGGAGGGCTTTGGCTGATGGACACGCCCTGTAAAGGTCATATCAGTGATCCGCAGCTTTGTGTTGTATGGCTGTGAGAAAATAGGCACAGTTAAATACTGTTTACCACCAGGGAACAATTGCTTCAGCTGTGCATGTGCTTCTCTGTAAGGTGAAAGATATGTTGGAAAACCACAGCATCCAAAGTGAGCTTTATGAAGTGTGCAAAATCCATAACCATTTGTGGAATTGAGAAATTTAATGTGGCCATAAAATTCAAATCTGAATATGATTTGCTGAGAAACCGTAAAATCAACTCAAAATAAACCAATGTGCCAACTCTCTGGAAGGCTCTATATGTTAATGTCTCTGTTAATCTGGCATCATCCAAAAGGACTAGGACTGATCTTTGCCAAATGAAAGGAAAATAAAGTGTTTGATGATGCTGTTGGAAGGCCCATTCAAAGTGACCACAACTGTTACAAATGCTTCTCTCACAACTTTGCTGTCCTTTGAAGACTTCTTCTTGTGTTAACTCAGGACATGACCGAGGGGATGAAATGGTTTTGACATGGTGAAAAAACTAAAATCTTGTCAAGCTTTTCTGGTGAAACTGGTGCAAAGGGGGTCGTCGTCAGCTGAGCAGCTGAAAAAACAATCCTATTATTACAATCTCAAAAAATATATATTAACAGGAAATACAGGGGAAAAAAACAATATATTTGACTGTCATAAGTCAGCAGAATGAGATTTTTATTTAAAAGACAAAACTTAAGGATATCAAGGGTGAGAAAAGTAAAGACTGGTTGGTCCAAAAGGGGTTCCAAATTATACCTAAACTTAAAGTTCCTCACAAGAGCTTTACATTCCATCTGTAAGGATTTTCTAGCATGACATTAGCCAGACTATAACTCTGCTTAGGACAGGTAAAATACAGATAATAAAGCATGATTTTAATGTCAGATGTCTTTGTTACTGCCACATTTCATTAGTGGGATTTATTGTTAATAGACATGCATCTGCTCCTAATTTTATACTTCTTTTCCTCCTCCTTTTCCCTTTGATATTTACACTTTCACTCTTAATAATTTGTCTATTACTGCTGGATTTAATTTCTAAATATTCTCACACACTACTGATGAGATGTGGTATAGCACAGTACCAATGGTTTCCATATTACAGTGTTTAAATGCAACATTTCTTAACACTTGATGAACCAACAAATGGAGTTACTGCTGACTGATCATTAGAGTAGAAAAATTGGGTCATTATAAGTTCTTTTCGAGCTTAAAATAAAATTACCATTTGGGTCACTTTCTTCCCTTTTTTAACATAAACACTGAGCAAAAAGACAGATTTCCCTGAGTCGTTTATTAGTTTGATGATTCACAACTAACCGCCTCTGTGTCTACAGCAGGAAAATCACATGTCAGAGCTGTCTGTTGGACAACATAATAGAGTAACACATCTTATTAATTATCTTTTACTTCTTGGCTGATTTACATAGGATATGAATCTGCGAGGCAGGGAGGACTTCCGTCACAGATGGTGTTGGAGTAATTAAACATGTGGTGTCCAAAAAGACAAGCCTCAGACTTGATGAACCTCCTCCAACAAATATGTTATATTGATTTTAAAGGTTGATCACATCCATATTATAGCCAAAAGCAGATATCCGCTCATTGAGGCTTTAACGGCCCACTTACACACACTCACACACATACACACTTTTAAGGTGGACATCTGTACGGCTGTGTAATAACAGAAATTAAGCATCTGGTTAGCGGGGATAGAGACAGAACTAATGGAAAACAACAACACTAAGTTTATCATGATGTCTAACTACATCTGCCTTGACAATGGAGCTCTGTGCTGAAGCTGGGAGCCAGTTGGCCAGTCAGAAACGGATGGAGCCTCGGGCCTCAGGGTTTGTAGTGTAGGTCTGACTGCAAACAAGAGCCTCTCTCTTCCACAGACACTTTATTCTTTCCGACTGCTGTGTTTGTGCGCTACTGCTGTGAGAACATGTGTGCTCCTGTGCCTGACTGTTTCTAGTCACTTCCAAATAAGTGAGAAATTTAGCATTTTAATATATCAATGCAATGTCACGTCTTGCTTAAGAAGCAACATCCAAAGATCCCCCACTCCTCATTCAGAATTAAATATACAAAACAAAGCAAATAAGCAAACAGTTTGGAAGTGAGTGGTGGTATTGGTGAGGCATCAAAGAGGGGAATTCTTCTACAAAATCATTTAAAAGCTTTTGCCAAACCTTAAAAATGTTGTGGCACTACAATGACATGAGAACTGCAGTCTCAACTGAGCCACGTCCTCCTCCACCCAGAGTTGGAACAATGTTGGACTGGTAGCTTTCCACTTGAAAAGGCTTCATCTGGCTGAGCTTCAGGACAAGGTCATGGTCTCTTCTTGAGGACTTTTAACGCTGAAGAAATTTGAACATTGCTCAACACTGAACAGTTTTACACTTTACGATATGTTTCATTAAGGATTACAGGCTTAATTATATGACAAAATGCACTTAAGTACATCCTTTGAGTATCTGACACAAACTTAAGGGTTATTTTCTGAGGAAATGTTGACTCCACTTCATCTGGAGGATAAATGTTGTACTTTTAACTCCACCGCATTTCTATGAATGTCCTCATCAATCACTATCTTTGCTCTGAAGTTAGCTCATAAATTTTCTCATCTAAGATTTGGTTTTATTGGTGTGTCCGTACCTGTGTGTCGTACATCTCCATGGTGGAACATAAAGCAAATGCTTGGCAAATATCACTCATCATTTGCGGTGGACCATTTTGTGGTGGTTACAGCAAAGAGGGAGGACAATTTCCAGCAAAGCACCCGTGGCAATAAGCCCATATTTGCGGTTTTTGAAATGAGGGATGATTTGTATAGCTCAAATCTGTGCTCTTTTTACCACACACAAACTCTGTAGTCTGTAAGAAAGCTACAGATTCAGAAATTTTAAGTTTAAGTCGCAAGTAAGTTTGAAAAAAGTAAATAAAGTTGATTGCACTTGTGTCGTCAAAACACCTTTTGAGATTTTTGTTTTAAAAGTAGTTTAATTACAGAAGTCATTATTGGGTAATCTAATACTTCCATGCAACTTTGATTCATATTGAGGCATTATTTGATCATAAGTATAGTTTGACTAAAGTAATGAAGTTGTGTACTTCGTCCACCAGTGTGCAGTTCAAAGGGTAAAAAGTCCCAGGTTTGAACTCAAAGGAGTATCTGTGTATCTCAGCTGACCTCGGTGCAGATGTATGAATAAATGATCCATTCTCCTCCCCTCCTCAGCCACCGGGCCCTCTCCTGTGGCCCCTCACCATTCATCCCTGTCGACAGCATGATGTAGCCACATGGGGCCAAAGTGCTGACTCCAACCCCTGACATCCTCCTAGCTCCTGACCTTTGACCCATAACAAAAGAGGATGTCTCCCCAGACAGAGATTTCCCTGCTGTTTGACGGCTGTGTGGCACAAAAAGCCGCCTGGCCATGTTGACACGGGCATTAGGAGGGACAATACAGGGACAGACTGGGAGGCCCCCCTGGAAAACAACACTTCCTGTAAATGGAAAATCACCATATCCGTCTTATCCGAATGGTTACCTTTTTGTGCTAGTACTTTCACTTTTGACATGAATTCAGATTACTAAGAGGCTGTGAGTTGTAACAGAAAAGAAGTGACAAGTTCACAAAATGTTTTCTATAATTTAATCTACACAGAGCATACAATGTTGAAGGTGCCACTGGCTCATCCACCTATTAAGACAAGAGCTGGTTGATCCTGATTCAGGCAGAGAAAAGTCTGCAAAAAGTCCACGTCAATGGATTTGGAAATTTGTGCTTTTACTCACAACCAACTGGAATGATGTCTGGGAGTTTTCAAAGCTGTTTATGTACGAAAACAGGTTCGAGAATAGCTCGGATTCAAGGAAATTCAATAAAGGCAAACCTAATTTGACTCAAAGTCTTCTGCTAGCTGTTGTTTCCAGAGCTTTCAACCAACTTAATGTAGTTAAACTGTCATGGATGCAGGGGTGGAAAGAGCTTTAAATATTCTAAATTTGATGAAACTTGGAAGTAAAACTATCAGTTTTTTGTCTACTCAAAAAGAGGGTAAAAGTTAAGAAAAGTACTTCATTGTAAATTTACTGAGTACTAACTTAATACAGGGAATTGAGGAGTAAGATATGACCTAAAATTAGGTTAAACTAAATCTTTCTAAGCAAATCATTGAAGTTAAACCATTAGGAGAAGTTCAGGCTGAGTATTTTCTTTCCCTTATGGTGATGACTATTTACAGACACTCCCCTGAATGAAATCACAGTCATTTACTGTGAGTTGTTCAGCTAGTGGACAGTTAATACTGTTGGGAATCAGGTTGAGGCTTCCTAACATGCACGGATACGTCTTCATTACTAGGAATCAGTTTACTAATTTATCGCTTAGCATTCTTCACATGATGAATCTGTTTTTCCATGTTTCCAAAGTCTCGACACTAGAGGTGGAGGCAATGGCCATCTAAGCCTGATGAGATAATGAAGCTGATGATGATAAACATCTTGAATCTTGAAAGTTAATGTGAGAATATCATATAAACTTGATTTATATCCCACTTTTAAAAACTGTTTATGAAATGTTTTGACGCCAAATCACAGGCAGAGACTCAGGAGGATAACAGATTAAATCATTGACAGGCAGTCGAGAAAATTCATGCAATACAAGACAAAAATGTAACACAAGGGGTCAACAAGGGTAATAATATTTCACAGAATAAAAGCAATATAAATATTGACAAAGTTTGTACATTAAGTAAAATGAAACTTGAAGTATATGGGACCAGAAACAATCAGAGACCTACTCTACAAAGATTCTACTTTACAAAGACCCACATATAACTGTACAGAAGGTAGCTGTGAAACTACGCTTCAGATGAACCAGGTATAAAGTTGGAGTTAGAGTTTTAGGTGTTTAAAGTACAAAGGCAAGTGGTACAGTGCCAGAGTGGTACGGTGCTGGATGGTAAAGGTGCATGCATATCATCCTGTCACTCAAAATGTGCATGTATATGAATATGCATGCACTTTTGCACATACAGTGTGTGTTAACATAGATATACGTACACAGATGTACCTTAGTTTGTAAAGGTGGATTTTAAAGGGATATTCTGGCATACAATTAAGTTAGGGTCAAGCACACTGGAACACAGAGTTAGACACCTCCTCGAGAGATGAATGTTGCTTCTCTAGTTATAGCAACTTTAGTAACGACCACAGGACAGCGATACACAGAGGTCTGAGGAGCCATAAACAAACCTCAACCAGAAAGCCACTCTATAGCCTCAAATATTGCTCAGAACAGCACCTAACTTCATCAACAGTACATATAGGGTCCCAGCCATAGCACTAGCCACCAAACATCTTTTTAGCTTTGCCTAATTTCTTTAGCAAAGAAACTAAACACAACTCACCTACTCTCTTCCATCAGCCGCTTGTTTGTAGCGAGACCTCAGGGCAGTCCATTACAGACTTAAGGAAGAACATCTATGATCATTTCTTGATGGAAATACAATCAGACCGAGACACTAAGGCAGAAGAACTACCGCACCTGCAGTGCAAAATGATTAATATAGTGATTATTAGTTCAAGGGAATTATAAAGAAAGGATCATAAATGTTATTATGATAATATGCATCACCCCGCAGCAGTCCGTAATGGACTGGCCTGAGGTCTTGCTACAAACAAGCGGCTGCTGGTAGAGAGTAGGTGAGTTGTGTTTCGTCTCTTTGCTAAAGAAATTAGGCAAATGAAAAAGATGTTTGATGACTAGTACTGTGGCTGGGACCCTATATGTCCTGTTGATGAAGTTAGGTGTTGTTCTGAGCATTATTTGTGGCTATAGAGTGGCGTTTTGGTTGAGGTTTGTGTATGGCTCCTCAGACTAATGTGTATTGCTATCCCGCGGTAGTTACTTAAGTTGGTATAACTAGAGAAGCAACATTCATCTCTTGAGGGGGTGTCTAACTCGGTGTTATGGTGTGTTTGACCCTAAATTAATTTTACGCCGGAATATCCCTTTAAGATGTGATTTCAATTTTGTCCCTGATTCTGCCCTCCTTATCTTCATGTCCTAAAGTCAATGATGGAAATATCATTTTGGACTGTGTGCTGGAGGCTTAAACAGAATTGAAAGCCAGATATCCTGGAAACACTTTTGTTTTAAGGGGTTACCGGCAAAAACAATCTTCACTTTGAAAACATGAATTATTACCCTTTTTCACTAAAGTAAGATTAACTTGAAAGTACTTAATTTTTCTTATTCATCAATCATTATGCCCTCATTGCACAGAATAACATTACACATTGTTTAATGAAAGAGATTACATGTGTGGAGACTTGTTTACTTTTTTTCATCTTAAGCTTGTAAGTAAATACTTTAAGAGAAAATCTGATATTTACTTAGAGTGACAGAAAGGAGGAGTTGATGCCACCGCACAGTGATACTTTGATGTGTGAAAGCAGCAAAGTGTTCCTGAGATGTCTTATAGTTCAATCGCTCAAAGTAGGTCTTTGCCTATGTGTGATGACTCCCAAGCAGCCTTTGCAGTCTTGAACTGATTCATGGGAAATCTTCAAGGGGTGAAATGACTCCCTCTAATAAACCAGCGCAACAGGAACAAACGCTATGTTGTATGTATAACAGTGACAGACAGCAGAAATATTTACACTGATTGGATGCTTTGTCTTTCTGCATCATGCGTGGGTGTCCCCAGAGTGCTCCAGTTTTCAAACAAGCAGGTTGTGAGAATGTGGAACTTGACATTGCCTGTGGGTGCTTATGCCAGTGCGTTAGCACTTGTGTTAAGTGCTTCAAAGCATTTTCTGCCAACACAAAGCTCTTCTGTGGCTCCAAGTGAAACTAAGTGGGAATGAAAAAAGTGTTATTCATTGATATAGTTGTGTGGAGATTCTTTTTGGTTTGAAAAAGTAAATGAAACTAAAGGACACTCTTTAGTTACTTGTTTAAAGTACTTTCGAAGGCTATGCTGATGAAAAACCTTTGCCTCTATCGACTTACCAGACTTTCTTTCTAATGATATAAGTCATTATGTGCTTTGTGCTAAAAAAATAAACAGATCACTTAATGAATAATGGAAATAAATGGAATCTATAGTGCTTTTTAAAGAGCCCAAGGTTGCTTAGCAAAAAAGGGATAATTAACAAAAGATATTTTCTCTTTTTATTGTTTATTTTAGTGCTTATAGATTGTAGCGTGGCTCTGAGATTTCTAATATCAGTGGGACAAAGTTTGGTATTCATTCCTGCATGGCAATAGTTGACATTTGAAAGCTTTAGAAAATCCAGATGTGAAAATCTAAACCTTGAACCAGATATTGAAACCAAATAAGTTGCTTCTCTACAGGTCCTAAACCCCACTTCCTCATACAAACAGATAAGGAAAAGGCCAAACAGAGACACCAAATAATTGTCTCTGCCAAACATGATTTCTGTCATATGCAGTTCTTATTATGCTGATTTAGGTTCAAGTGGTCATTTTTATGGCAAGCTTGTTTTAATTAGTTTTTTAATTATAAAAAGATCATGACTGATGCTATTTCTTTTTGCCAAAACTATTTAACTGCAAATTATTTAAAACTTCTCATGCTGGTGAACAAAATGATGCAAAAAAATACCCATCCAACCTAATGATAAAAGGCCATTTATTATTTTCAAAATGCCAACCTTATGAATCTTTCAAAGATACATACATCATAACAGAAAACAGAAAAAAAAGTTGAGATTTGTCTGAAAATTTTGTTTTTAACCAGTTTTATCTACTACCAAACATCCTCTGTAGTCGCCGTTCGTGTCATTTTTCCTTCTGCGCATGTCCTCTGTGGTCCATACGCAAAACTGGTGGCGGATAGAGCGAGAGAGAGAGAGAGAGAGAGAGAGAGAGAGAGAGAGAGAGAGAGAGTTAACAGGGGACCTATGGAGCGTGTCACAGTACAAGTGTTTTCTATATCTTCTTGTCCACGATGCACTTTAGGATTGCAATAAGATGCGTGTGTGTTTCCAGATAATCAGCTTCTTCCTCTCGGTAAACTTTTACTGCCAGCCGCTCCGAGCTCAGGGTGAGTATGTCCGTCTCTGTGATTCCAACTTCAGAAGTGTTACTCTGTTAAACCTCAGTGCCGCCTGTTTTCAGTTTTACGCTTAACTTGACTCGCAAAAATGAAAGAACAGCAGACAGCCTGCGCCTAAACGCCTGTGTTTTGTACACTGCAGCTCTGGGCTAACTTGTTGATTTTGTGACAACTGGCATCCTGTGGGCACGATAGATTTCACGCTCATGTAGGAAAACTTCAAGCCGAACTCCACTC